AAAATGCCAATAAGGAATATTTCAAAAGAACCATTGCCCAATCTCTTCTAAAGTAATTTATTGTGAAACATGGCCACATTTTGAATGCTTTAGAAAGAATTGAGAAAGCAAAGGAAAGCAGTGGTAAGTGGTTGAGTAATGCCACTTTTTAAAAAACGTAATTAAATGGGGGAAATGTGAAATCAAAGAGAGCAAGCTCAGTAACTCTGCTTCTTGATGAGCAATAAACACAAAAAGAAAAAAACTCGGCAGTGGCGTTTGTTCTTCTCTCTCCTCTCTGTATTATATTAAATGTAGTTTCTAAATCAGTACTTGTAAGAAAATGAAAGAAGATTCAGGCAAGCATCCGGTACGGCCTCCCAGAATATTGTCTAGAAATCTAGCCCATTCTCTTGGAACTTTCCAGAACATCCCCAGAGGACATTCAGCAAAAGCATTTGGGTCTTTGATGGCCAGTGTACCCAGTCCTAGATGCCACTTACTAGCCAAAGTGCCAGCAGACTTACTGAGGGTCTAATAAAAGCCATACTGGCTTAGATGAAGAACTTTTGAGTTAAGAATTTAGGGCTGGGGCTGGAGAGATGGTTCAGCGGTTAAGAGCACTGACTGCTCTTGCGGAGGACCCGGGTTCGATTCCCAGCACCCACATGGTGGCTACAAACCGTCCTTAACTCCAGTTCCAGGGGAATCCAAAGCCCTCTCTCACCTCCGCGGCATTGTAGGACATGGATGCACTCACATACATGCAAGCAACACACGCATACACATAAAATAAAAATAAGAAATAAAATATGTTAAAAGAAAGAATTTAGGGCCAGTGAGCTGTCCGGAGGGTAAAGGCAATTGCTGCCCAGCCGACAACAAATGGGGTCAATCCCCAGACCCTACGTGGTGGAAGAAGAGGACTGACTCCTGTAAGTGGTTCTCTGATTCCACACACATATGCTGTGGCATGTACATTCCCTGTACCCCCAAATAAATAAGTAAATGTAATAAAAATAGGTACTAATAATAAGAAATCAAAGCAGTGTCCTTGTATAATAATTATTGTTATACCAATGATCTCAGTACTCGGGAGGCTGAAGTAGATCGATCACAGGCTGGAGACCTGCCTGGTCCACACAGTCAGAGCCTGGATTTAATCACTTGATTAGTTAATTAATGAAACTGGATCAAATAAAAAATTTAAAAAATGTTGGCCTTCATAGTAAAATGTCTAGCACATAGGAGGTCCTGGGGTTTGATCCTCAGCACCACAGGGGAGATAATGTATGAGCCTGATTATCAGTCACTGAAATAATGATCACTGAACTAACTCAGTTATTAGCTAACTTTAATGTTAAAAGCATAGTGTGTCAGATATTGCCTTAGGGTTACATCAGCTGCAGAGCATTTTATTTACAAAGTGAAAACGAAACAAACAACAACAATAGAAAGCTAGAATTAAAATTCTCCCAGCAGCTTGAGAGCATCTACTTGGCCACAGGAGTAGATTAGGTGTTATTAAATAGATACTTTTGGAATATTCAGTATTTGGGACAATAAAATAAGTATCTATTTAATAACATCTCATCTAAAATAAACAGAAATACTGATTGTTTGGTAGAATAGCTAGCATTGGAAGTGTAAAACATATTTAGAAAATTAGAGAAATGCAAGCCAAACTAAAACTGCATTCTTTAGAGCAAGTTCCTTGGGGTAAGCTGAAAACAGAGCAGAGAGAACCTTTGTACCTTCCCAGTAGGCAGGTGTCCCGTGTGGCCCGATGCTCAGTGTATTTCCCTGAAGAGTGGAACCTCCCCTATCATTCTCCTCTGTCCTTTAAGAACAACGGTGCATCGTCAAAGTGTTTTGTAGCCAAGGATAGCTCACCTCTGTTTGTTCCGTCCTTTGTGTTAAAAATATTTTATTATTTTTTATCTTATGTGTATGAGTGTTATGACCTGCATGTATGTAAGTGCATCCATGACGTGCAGTGCCCACAGAGGTCAGAACAGGGTGTTGAATTCCCTAGAACTGGATTTATAGACAGTTGTTAGTCACCATGTGGGTGTTAGGAATTGAACCGGGGTCCTCTGCAAAAGCAGTCAGTGTTCTTAACCGCTGAGCCATCTCTCTAGCACCCCGCCCCGATCCTTTGTCCACTGAGACAATTCTAGAACGGTCATCACTCTAACAGCAGTGGCTCTGTTGGCATGGTGAACTCAGACATGCTTGAACAGTATCTCTCTGGATCAGTCCCTGTTGTCAATAACGGCAAGAAAAGCCAATCCTCCTTCAACAGCGATAACCTTCCTTTAGCACAGTTCTTGACTTTAGTACAATGAAAGTGCCTGTGAAGCCATCAGGCTCCATCAAGGGCTGAAGAAGGTTATTTCTGTTGTAGCTAATGATCTTGGGCTTGTTGGTGTCAAAAATGTCACCATTGCTATGGACAGTGATAATCTAATTATAAGTTTGATTAATGTTGTGCTTTGGAGAAATCATAATTAATTTACTTATAGTTAAGAATTATCCACTTAGTTTGAAAATGTTGAGTACCTTAACACTGGAAATGTCACAAGACATTATCATAGGAATATCATCTTACCAAAAAAGTCTCTTCAGGTGGGTACAGACTAGCAACCAATTAGCAGAAGTAGCAATCATTTAATTAGACATTATCTGACCTTCCAAAGTTCTATTTGAAGTATAAAGTTATGTGCCTTTTAGCAATGGGGATAAATTCTGAGTAATGATTTGTTGGATGAGTTTTCCACTGTGTCCACATTATAGAGTGCGTTTACACAAACTTGGAAGCTACAATTGTGTATAACGGTACCACTGTTCTATATGCTGTTAGATGGATGGATGGATGGATGGATGGATGGATGGGTAGATAGATGATAGATAATGATAGATAGACAGACAGACAGACAGATAGATGATAGACAGATAGATGATAGATAGATAGATAGATAGACAGATAGATGATAGATGATAGACAGATAGATGATAGATAGATAAATAGATAGATAGATAGATAGATAGATAGATAGATAGATAGATAGATAGATAGATATATAGATAGATAGATAGATAGATAAATAGATAGATAGATAGATAGATAGATTAGTTACCAAAAGAATGATGGACTAATTTACATGAAGTTGTCAGTAGTAAGTGCCGACTTCATCAAGACTCCTAACGAGCTTGTCCACTGTACAGTGAATCAGGAACTCTGTGCAGGCCCTTTATGCCACAGGTCAACTAGGTTCAAGTCTACTCTAAGATTCTTATAGGGTTCCTGTAAGAGTTTTTGTACCACTGAATTGGCTTTCTGTGGCCATACTAGTGTCTTCTAGTATATTTCCAAGATGCTGAGTGCTGTAGAGCATTTTGCTAAGTGTAACTCTCCCCGTCATGAAAGACAAACCCAAAGAGAAAGAAAATTTGAAGATGCAGAAGGAGCTTAGCAGATTTACAGATAAACTGTAGTTTATAAATAACTAATTTATGAAAAAGATAACCGTGACTTGAGTGTGTGAAAACAGTCACACACCTGAAGAGATTTTCATTTTGCATCTCCACTAAATATCCAGCTGTGTCTATCATCAGCCACAGTCTGGCTCCAACCAGTAGCTATGCTGTTCATTCACCAACAGCCCCAGTTCTTGTACTGTTTTTTCCCTTCTGAATGGAACATATAGAATGGTACTTGTCTTCTTTAAAAATCAGAAGGAAGCCAGGCCATGTGGCATAGGCTGTCTGCTCAGCTACTCTGGAGACTGAAGCAGGAGTAAAGACCCGCCTGAGCCACCGAATGAATTCAAGACAGCATAGGCAACTTAGTGAGACCCTGTTTCAAAATAAAAAGTAGGAAGACAGATGTGGCTATAGCTCAGTGGTAGGGTGCTTTCTGCTCATACATAAAGCCAAAGTGTAGCAATGAAAAAGATATAATTTTATTTACATTGACATTATTATTATTGTTATTTACATTGACATTATTATTATTATTTTCTTAAAGTGATGATTTTAATCCTACTTCTATCTCATTAATATCTTAATTGTTTGTAATATATGTACAACAATGAAAATTATAGAAGAAGTCATGAACCTGGTGAGGGTGCTGCAGGAGGCGTGGAAATGGTGTAAATATAGTACTCGTATGAAATTCTCAAAATAATAAAAATATAAACTTAAAAAGAATAAAGTGAATACCCACAGCTATCATCAAGATAAGAGATGAGTGTTGGTAAGGATGTGGTCCAGTCATTACCGAGGTCCCTCAAAAAGATAAAAACAAAGCTATCGTATGATCTAGCAACTCCACTCCTGGCTGTACATCCAGAAGAAACGCAGTCAGTAAGGTGAAGAGCTGTCCATTCTCCCACGTTTGTTGTAGCTGTGATTCATAACAGCTAAGGCATGGAATCAGCCGAAGGGTCCTTCAGTGGATGAACAGAGAGGACGACACACATAGACGAGTGTGTACCATGGAATACTATTGAATCTTTACAAAGAGGGGAATTCTGTCATTTGTGGCAACATGGATGAACCGCAGGACATTATGGTAAATGAAAGAAATTATACACAAAAAACCCAAATACTGTATACATAGTTTATTCTGTATGAAATCTAAAATAGTTGAACTCACGCAGTAGAGCAGAATGGTCACTACGTGGAGGGAAAGAGGAATTGGGGGGATGTCAAAGGACACAATAGTTAAGCATATTTTACAAAAATAACGAATTCAGGAAATATACCATATAACATGGTATATTTTTGACTTTAATTAATAATGGTGCAGTACATACTTGAAAATTGCTGTGAGAGTAGATTCTACATGTCCTCACAACTAAGATAGTCTAAGTATGTTAGTAGATATTTCAGCTAGCTTGACCTAGCATGCTGCAACCTATTCCCATATCAAAATCCATATCAAACGTATGAACACTTTAGATATATAACTTTTGTCAGTTAGAATTAATTCACTTTTAAGACAAGGGTAAACATACCTTCCAAATGGAAAGACACAAAAGTCAAGATGACCAGAGTTCGAGATTCAACCTCTATGATGTAGGTGCAGTTCATGTTGTTGTCATATTGCTTTGGGAAGTTTGGAGAGAGGATGTCACCTGTAGAGCCAGTGAAGTTACGTCCACATCCTACACAAGAGCAAAAAGCCATCATCAGGACATCATTATCATATGAAGTGCCTATTTCACAAAAAGATGTAGATGCCACTTCATAAAGTCTCCACAGAAAATGCCTAAAGCTATTCTGAATGGAAGAAGAGAGCTAGGAGGGTAGCACTTCGATATAAATAAATATGCACGTAAAATAAGAACACTGTACATTTTAGAAAATCCTGAGGAATTAATAATTTATTTTACGTGTATGAGTGTTTTGCCTGAATGTATATAAGTACACCTGTGTCATGCAGTGTCTGCAGTGACCAGAAGAGGGTGTCACATCCCCTGGAACTGGAATTACAGACAGTTGTTAGCTACTATGTGGGTGCTGGGAACCAAACCTGGGTCTTCTGCAAGAACAGCCAATGCTCTTAACCACTGCTGAGTCATCTCTCCAAGCCCTTGGCCCCAAGGAATTTTAGGTGATAAGTAGTAGATATTTTACCACAATACATTTCAAATCCCTTAATATTAAGATTTTTTTAAAGCTCTAAACACATACATATTAGAAACACTAAATGGACTCAGTAGGTTTTGTATGTGTGTGTGTGTGTGTGTGTGTGTGTAATATAGAAAAAGATGTTATGAATCTGAGAGGTAGTTGGGGAGGGAGTTATACTGGGAGATGTACAACAGAAATTATTTTTAAAAGGTTTTAAAAGGATAAATTAGCAAATATCAAATATAGTTCACGTAAAGCCACAGGACAGTTGGAAGCTGGGGAAATAAAATGCTTGCCTTGTAAGCATGAAGACCTGAGTTCATGCCCCAGAAACCAAAATCAAAAACACAAAACAAAACGCAGGCCAGGTGTGGTGGTGCACACCTTTAATCTCAGTACTCAGGAGACAGAGGCAGGCAGATCTCTGTGAATTAAGGCGAGCCTGCTGTAAGTTACAGGAGAGCTGGGGCTACAGGGGGACCCTGTCTCAAAAAAACCAAAACCAACCAACTAAACAAACAAACAACAACAACAAAAATGGGCATGGTGGTGCTTAGATTGCCAGCACACAGGAGGCAGAAAGAGGTGGCTCCCTGGGGGTGGTTAGCTCACCAGTCTAGCCTTCTTGTTGAATTCCAGGCCAGTAAGAAACTCTGTATAAAAAGAGGAAGACAGCACTTGAGGAACAGTACTGAGCTTTTCCTCCAGCCTCAGTCATACATACATGCACCTACATACACAAGAACGCATACACACAAAGTGATTTGCATCTGAGTAGTACTTTATAGAAGTTTTATTAAAAAGTGTTACATTGGGCTGGAGAGATGGCTCAGAGGTTAAGAGCACTGGCTGCTCTTACAGAAGATCCAAGTTCGATTACAAGCACCCACTTGGTGGCTGACAATCATCTGTAACTCCAGTTACGGGGGTCCAACACCCTCTTGTGGCCTTTGTGGGTATTGCATGACACAGGTGCACTTACATACATGTAGGCAATATACTCATACACATAAAATAATAAATAAAATATTTTTAAACATGTTATACTGTGGCTAGAGAGATGGCTCAGTGGTTAAGAGCACTGAATGTTCTTGCAGAGGACCGGGTTTGATTCCAAACACTCACATGTTGGCTATGAACCATCCTTAACTCCAGTTCCAGGGGAATCCGAAGCCCTCTTCTGACCTCCGCAGCATTGCACACTCACATACATGCAGGCAATTCTCTCATACACATAAAATAAAAATAATAAATAAATTTTTTTAAAGTGTTATACTAACTCCCGAAAGTGTTTATAAAGTGTTTTCTAAATGTCTTATTAGAAAACTGCTAACTTTTATTACTAATAAAATCTATTCGTAAGAACAATTCTAATTGCCTTTAAAAGCTAGCTGAATTTAGTAGTCATTATATTTATTAAATTTCCACATGTATCTCCATTGTAAGAAATAAAGATAAATAAGCCAGGTTCAGTGGTGCATACCTGTAATCCCAGCTGCTCAGGAAGCAGAGGCGGGAAGAGTGTATGTTCAAGGCACGCATGCCTTGGCTACACAGGAAGTTCAAGTTTAGCTTGGGCAACTTAGCTATACTGTGTCAAAATTTTAAAAGTGGGGATGAATGGACAGGTAGTAGAGGGGTCTAGCATATATAAGGCCCTAGGTTGAATCCCAGTGCTGCAAGGAAAAAATGAAATAAAGATATATATCTTTTTATTATTAAAGTGGAATTTCATATACCTCTAATTTACCTCTGATTTTTAATTATGAAAGTATGCGTATCCTTCTAAATTGATAATGAATATGTCTGTCTCTCTTACACACACACACACACACACACACACACACACACACATCTGAGAACTAGGTTAGGTCTGAAGTTGGCCTTCGTTACTTCCCTTCTTCGGCCCTCATTCTTTTGTCTGAAATACCTGCTTACTGTGTTATTCCCTCAATTCCTCTCCTGAAACTCTTCCCTGACAATTAGTAGCCATCTGACTTAATTCAACCAGCACACAGGCCATCGCATCTCGGACCTGAGAACTACATTTCCCATTAGTCTAACTTGTGTCCAGCAGTTAGAGGAGTGGAGCCAAGTATCATGTCAGGAAAGTAAAGTCCTGAAGAGAGTGACTTCCAGCTTACTGATGTGGGAGTTCTCTGCATGGGAGTCAAACATGCACACTCCACTCTTGAGAATTCTGGGGTTAGATGGGTCTGAGTGGTGTCTGAGAATCTTCCCATGCTTTGAGCATCCCAGGTGATACTGCTGTAGCTCCTTAATGTGTCCTATGCTGGTGACTTTGGTCAACTCATCACTGGCCACCTGGTTTCTACACAATGCCTGTTACTCTGGATTCCAGGCTTATTTTTAGATGCTGGCTGCTAGCATGCCCTTTATATTATACCCAACTGATCTGCTTCAGCATCACCAAGTAATGTTTCTCCATGTTGGCTTCAAAGTCCAGATTTCCTTGCCTTAGCCTTCTATGCATGGGATGCAGGCATGTACAGCCTGGTTCTCACTGATGTTTGAAAGGAAGACTTAGCTGGCTCAATTATGTTCCTCCCTGGGACCCCATCACACCAACCTTAAAGGTGCAGCTCTCGTACCATTCCCCAAGCCTAGCTGAGGCACCCAGCCTCTTTCAACTATTCTGGGTTTGGATTTTAGTGCTACTTACGGCTTATAAAGGATGCAGAAAAGCCCTGGGCTGGTAAGTCCTGAGACTGGAAGACCGTGGTGAATGTGTTTCTTGGTGTGATGATGGGACTTGGAGCCACGTTCCCACAGCTTGTGGCTAATAGGGTTTTGTTGGTTTGCGTGGTTCCTCCCCAGACCTAACGGGGTTGAAAACATGACTTAATACCTACAGTTTTCTCCTGTCAGTATTTCAACATGATTAGGCTTGAAAATGATGGTACTCAATTATATAGAAAAAACCATAACAGTAAGTCATATGCAAATCTGTAACAGTTTCATTTGAAAATAGATTTAAAGTTGGTTTTAAAATGGCCTGTCTTGGACACTTACACTAAGTTCACCCACGAAGTACTCAGGGACCATTGCGGAAGAGGGGGAGGAAAGATTATAAGAGCCAGGGAGGAGGCGCATGACCATATAGAAACAGAGTCCTACAAGCTCCTGGGACCCTGCTCATATGATTCTATGGCAATGTTGTCAGCATGCACAAGTCCCACACAAACTCAGGCAGACAAAAACCCAGCATAGAATTAGGGAACTGAACAGCAGACCCTAATCTTAGCTGAAGAAATATTGGCAAGTGATTACTGCTGAGTGAGGAAGAGCTGATCTTCCTAAAACAAGGGACTCTAGATAGTCTGACTAGACCTCAGTGGATGGACTTGCACTGGGGAACATCTGGGGACACTGACATGACACAGTGGACCTTAACAAGGATGACATAGTATATGTGTTCCAGCGGGGGGCTATGGGAGGGTGCCGGTGGGGACAAGGGTATAAAGATGATTAGGATTGTTTGAGATATTCTATATGAAATACACAAAAATTCAATAAAAACAAATTAAAAAAATAAAATGGCTTGTCTTGTTCTGACAGCTCTATGGAGATCACGCTTAGTTTTATACAGCTGGCAAAGATGTTTCTTTAAATCAACATGGTGATTTGGATACATGCCCCCCATAGGCTCCAAGTGCTTGAACGTTTGGTCAGTCGGCAGCACTGTTCTGGGAAGGTTGTGAAGCCTTTGGGATGTGTGACCTTGCTGGAGGAAGCATACCACTGGGGGAAGCACGCCACTGGGGGAAGCACGCCACTGGAGGAAGCATGCCACTGGGGCAGGCCTTGGCAGTTCATAGCCACTTCCCTTCTAGTTTTTCTCTTTCTGCTTCCTGTGTCAGCTTAAAGATTTGAGTGTTCGGCCATCTGCTCAGACCACCTCTGCCACCATGCCTCCCCTCCATGATGGACTCTCATCCCTGTGGAACTAAAAGCCAAATACTCTTCTTTTCATAAGTAGCCTTGGTCATGGTGTTTATCACAGAGCAGAGAAGTAACTAATATAATCAATTATTATTCAGTTGCTTCTAAATTCTGGTTGGTCTGATCTAGCTAAGTTGCCGTCTACAAGAGACAGTTGGTAATGTCTGAAGGCCTGTGTGGTAATCTCATTTGGTCTGGAAGGAGGTGAACTAGAGGGGACGAGCTAGCGTCCTCTAGATGTATTTCCGAGGGCTGCAGTAGTCTGTTGCTGTCTCTCACCTCATCCCTAAGTGATCTGTGATTTGTGTGTTTTCACTTTTGATTTTTTTGTCAGCTTTGCAAGAAATTTGTCAATTTTATTGACTTTTATTGCATTCCTGTTGTCAAGTTCATTACTTTGCATTTTTGTCATTCTGATTTTCTGGCTTTTTATTTAGTTTACCTTAGCTTTGATAGTTGATTGAAGAACTCAATGATTGATTTTAGATTTTTTTCCAATGAAGTCTCCAGTCCTATGGGTTTATTTTCAGCATGTTTTCACCATATATTATGCAATGACAGGTCTCATTTTCATTGATTCTGCTCCAGATGATCTTAAATTTCTTTTAGACATTTTCTTTGCCCCATGGGTTCTTTTTAAAGTTTTAAAGATTTATTTGTGTATATATGCCTGTTTGCCTACATGTATGTATGTATGTATGTATGTATGTATGTATGTATACCACATGACTGCAGTGCCCATGGTGCCCAGAAGAGGGTGTCAGATCACCTGGAACTGGGGTTACAGGTGGTATGAACAACCATGGCCATATGGGTACTGGGAACCAAACCTAGGTCCTCTGAAAGAACAGCAACCACTAAGCCATCTCTCCAGCCCCACCACTGGATGATTTTAAAGTCTTTAGTTCTTGTCAAAATCGTCTCTGAATTTTTAGGCCTAACCTTCAGCAGTTACAAAATCTTAGTTGGCAGCTTCTATGTATGCCTTCCTCAGGCAACTTCTACAGAGCCAGTGTATTCCAGTCTCTAAAGTGCGCTGCAGTAAAGGTCCTTAAGGCCAACTACACTTTTACACACCTGCATTTCTAGCCCGGGCATCTACCTTGGAAGGTCTATTTTTCAGAGGCCCCAGCTGAAGGATTCCATAAACATCATTGCTGAAACATCTTTGTCAGAGGAAAGGGGATACTTGAAAACATTTTCCTCCACTCCAGCTCAATATTTTCTGCTTTTGTTTGGGAATCACTCAGTAATGAACCAATCTTACTTTTTTGCTGATCCACTTGACTTTTATCAGGTGCTGATCCAAGAATAATATAGGAAGAGCCAGAATTTCTGCCTGTTTTGCCTCTTGGTTGCACGGCTTCAGGAAGTGATTGAAGGCTTGATGGCTGCTTTCACATTAGCTGACTGGTTCTGTTAAGTACTCACACCGAGTCCTGGCAGGACAGTTCTTTCTAGTTCAGCTTAACTCTTGACAAGGTGTTATTTTTGTTATTGCTTTGCACTTTGATTTTATATGGTCAGAGAAAATATTCTATAGTTTAGTTCTTCATTTTATTGAGGGCTTGATTATTTATTTATTTGTTTATTTATTTATTTGCTGTCTTAGTACATAGTCTACCCTGGTATGTTTCAAAGGCATCTATTCTGCATTGATATATGGTGTATTTTGTAGGCATCAATTGCATCCTGTTGGTGGACAGTTTCAGAGTTCTGTATCCTGTGAATGATCTAGCTAATCGCGCCCCATTCGCTGATGAGACAGGGTGTTCAAGTCTTTGACTCTAGCTGAAGACGTGTCTATCTGCACAGTTTCATCAGGTATTGCTTCATGTGTTGTGGCTCTGTTGCTTGTGTGCACATTTAGACTCATTACATCTTCCTGGGGGACCGATCCTTTTATCATCATGTAAGAGCCCCCCTTTCCTACAGTAAGTGTATATTCTATAAGTTTCATTTAATCAAGTACTGATATAGCCACTGCTGCTTTTTATTATTTCTATGATTTATAATTTTACATCCTTTCCTTTCAGCTTACCTATATGGTTGGAATGAGCTTATCACCACTTGGTCATGTTCTAGCCAATAATCTCTGTATTTTGATTGGTGCAGCTAAACTATTTAATATATATTTACTATACATATTGCTAGGCCTATGATTTTGCTTTCTGTTTACTTCTGGGTTTTGTTCCTGTTTCTCTTTTCTTCATTTCCTGTGGATTCCATTTTGATTGGAATGTAGTGTTTTTGCCTATCTCTTCATATAATTCTGATCACTGTGATTGTTCTGGGCACTAAAATCATATATGGTTACAGAAGTTTACCCCAGTATTCACACTGGACTCTCCTGAGAAGATTGTGGGAAAACAACATTTACTTTGTCTCTTTACAATTTTTCATTGTCTTGGGTGTCAGGTACCATTATAGTCTTTTTAAAAATTATTTTGAATGTATCTTTATTTTAAGTGTATGAGTGTTTTTCCTGAATGTATATAAGTGTACCATGTGCATGCAGTGCCCACAGAGGCCGGAAGAACGAGTCAGATTCCTTGGAACTGGGTGGCGGGAACAAAATCTGGGTCTTGTGCAAGAGCAGCCAGTGCTTTTTACCACTGAACCATCTCTCCAGTCCTACTATTGTATCTTTTGTTTAAATTATTAAATATGATTCATAAAACTTACACAGAAAGGTAGATTCTAATTAGATGTAAACAGTCTGCTTCTCTCTTGATCCTTTTTCCTTCCTAATACTCCCAGGTTCCTTCATATCTTTTTGCCTTGCTTGAATCAATTTCATCAAATAATCTTCTAATGGTAAGCCCTTTGTGGATGGTTTCTTTTAGCTTCCCTTTTGTATGACCATTTTGTAAAATTTCCCTTGTACTTGAAAGGCAGTTTTCCGGATACTAAATATATTGTTGACCATTCTTTTATTTCAGAATTTCATTATTTCTTTGACTACTCTCAGCTGAATTCTCGTCTCTTCTTGTAGCACTGTAGTGATATGGTTTTTTGATATTTCTTTATTGGTCATGGGGCCCTAAGGCTCAGTTCATGTTTTCTAAAGTCTGTTTCCTCTTCATTGTCTGGAGGTGGTTAATTCTATTGTTCTGCCCTAACATTTGCTGGTTCTGTTCTCTGTCGTTTCCCCTTACCTACTGAGCCTAAACAGTAAGCTAGTTCTATTGTATTTTTCAGTTCCGTAATTTACATTTAATTCTTCACTGTAGTTATCTTTTTTGCTGAGATTTTTCTATTACTTGTTTGGTCATCTCAATGCTTTTAAGAGAACTTGTCAGTGTTTACTGAGGAATTTTTCACAGGAGAATCTACATCCTTGTCACATCGTTCATCATGGGGGTTGACATTACTGGGCTGTCTCTTCTCACCCAGCTGTAAAGTTCCTTGTTTCGTTATGAAGGGTTCTTTCTCATTAAACCCTCAATGTTATATTCATCTTGTTTGTACCTTGCAGTTCTCTTTAAATCTTTTATTTATTAATTTTATGTGCATGAGTGTATTACCTGCGTGTATGCAAGTGCACCTGTGTTGTGCAATGTCCATGGAGGTCAGATGAGGGAGTTGGATTCCCCTGGAACTGGAGTTACAGAGGGTTGTCATATGCCATGTGGGTGCTAGAAATCAAACTCAGGCCTTCTACAAAAGCAGCCAGGGTGCTTAAACCTGGGTTATCTATCCAGGCCCTAAATCTTTTGTTTTGAAAGACTGTTGCCCTGATCATGTTCAGCATGTGATGTTGCATATACTTGTGGGCTGTTTCTAATGGTTCTATTTTCTGAACCTTTGCAGTATAATTTTGTTCAGCTTATTTTCTGTGGTGCTTTTGGAATCCTACTTTAATCCTTCCTTCTTTTTTTTTTTTTTTCATGTAGACCAGGCTTTGTAGCCAGGAATGACCTTGACCTCCTGACCCCATGCCTCTACCTCTTGAGTGCTGGGATTACAGGCCTGTGCCACCGTGCCTGTCTAGTTTTTGTTAGCGTTCCTTAAAGGGATAGGGTCTTTCACCTGGTTCAGCCTCTGTATATTTCTCAATTGAAGGAAAAGGGTCTCGTAGGATTCCTCTACCAATACCCCAAGGCCCTCAGGAGAAGCATCTCTGTTTTTGAGAACAAAGATGTTTTATAGACCTTGGCCCATTCTGTCCATCTTCCCTAGTGTCTCTAGGACAAGGGAAAGAGTCTTTGATTCATGGACAAAAAGGAGCTTCCACTCCAGGCAGGGGCTCTTACTGGTTTCCTTTACTAGTCATTTCCACTCACATAGCATCTTTTGGCAGAAATAAGTCTCATAGTGGACTAAAAGCAGTGTCTCCTGTGGTACTTATTTTTGGCAAGGTTACCAATTGATCTCATTTACTATTGTCATTGGGCTTGCATGACATTGTCAAAAGGATTTCCATTCTATCCAGAAGAAGACTGAGCCTAAGTCATCCTCTAAGAATAGACTTACAATTGAAGAACTATTGAGACTTCACTTAAGTCTGCATACTCGATGTTGACTTGTTTTATGAGAAGAGAGTTCCTTCATTTCATGGGAAAAAGCAATTAAGAAAAGTGTCTATTAAATGCATTTTATTATGTACACATTTTATATATGTATTGGATTTTCATTTAAAGAAGAAGCATAGATTAAAAGGCTATAAAACAATTTTAGGGATGATATGAAATAATAACACTGACAAGAAAAGCCATTTCTATTCATTAGGTGATTTTATATTCCAACAGCACTGAGTAAGATTTACGCTATTACACCACGTTACTTTTAGTGCTTGCAGCAACCGTACTAAAGTGGGAACCATACCCTTCATTTTATGGTGGAGTAATTCAAACCAAAATGTTTAATTAACTCATAAAAATGCATGTGGGCAGTAAGTATGAGAAAGATGAGTACATTCCAGGCTAATGGGAACTTAGGCCAACAATCTTCCCGCTAGAAGGCATAGCCTCTTAGTGATCCTGCATGTAAGATGAAAAACAGCACAGATGAAGTGAAGTAATAACACAGCAATCACGAATGTCACAGGAAAGTGAAAGTCAATGCCACATGAGCAAGACTTAGGGCTTCAGAGAAAAGCAGCCTTTCGTCCTCATTGGCCACCTTTTTATGTGAGTCTCTCAGGATTGTTTCTGCTGGCGGAATCTTTAGGTTCAAAACAAGGGCTTGTATGGGCTACTTCAGCCTTCTGTAATTTTTGTAGCATAGGCTATGTCTTCCCTGTGATGATGCTTTAAGATGTAAAAGTCTTTTTTCCTGCACTTTCTACTGGGAAAGAAAGATAAAGAGAAGGATGAAGAAAGAACAGGGGAAGAAGTAAGAGATGGAGGGGAAGAAAGAGAGACAGAGAGACAGAGAGAGAGAGGAGGAAAGAAGGAAGAAGCGAGGAAACAGGGAGAAAGGAAAGAAGAGAGGACAAAAAGACTCTTTTCCAAGTTTCTACAGGAAAGAACCATTAATGATCATGACAACTGAAGGTCAAGAAAAAGTTCTAACTTAGTTGCTAAGTTAAGCAAATGATAAAAAAAATATACAGGCTGCAATGTGTGCTGGGTTCAAATCTTACCTTCTAACAGTTTAAATTTCCTACTATCATATCCAAGAAATTCAAGCAAAAGAATTGTTTTCTTTTATGATGAGAAATGATTTTGAGCTCTTTTAGCCTCAATGTTTATGCTTATGAAGCCAGTCTGGCTCAAGCTGAACTCACAAATGCACCAACCTTCACAAAGCTGCTCTGACACTGGCCACCACTGCTGGGGATTCGGAAGTTGCTGTCAAAGCTGATCTCCCAGTGTTTACTCTCATGAGTGATGGCTGTCCAGGAGCATCTGCTGTTGGGGGGAAAATTCTGAGGCCAATGTGGGGTTCTGATTGTACCATTATCTGAATGAAACGTTCCACCGCAACCTGGAAAATGTCATGGAAAAGCTGTAAGTCTTCAGGGAAAGTAACACCTGTGGAAACCAACGACTGCCAGAGAAGAAACACTTCCAAACATGAGATGGCAGCTCATCTTTCTTTATGCCTGACTCATCTTTGGGGCAGGTACTCAGCAAAAACTCCTAAAAGCCAAGTACATGATTCAAGAGCTGTAACTGTTGTTTATGCACCCACACTGAACTCAGCTGAGATCGCGGAGCCTTATAGAGCCAAGACAATAGACTCCTATCTCCAAACTATAGCAGTGCTCTTTAATTTCCCTGGAGGCTGTATAGTAGATGATAGCCAGGCTTTCCTAATTCTGCATTTTGCCACCACTGACACATGAGAACATAGCTATAAGATTGTTTGTAATTTTACTGTAACATGGTGAACTAGACACAGTGATTTGAATTAGGGAAAGTTCTTCCACTAAGTAATCTGCCTCATTCATACTGAAAGGAACTGACAGAGGAGAATAAATCATACGGATTCAAAGAAAGAAAAATCTAGAATTACTTTCCTACTCTTAAAATATGTACTTAGGGTCTTGTCTTGGGGCCCCAGACACCTGGGGAACCAATATTGCTTCCTGATCCTTTTCATCCAGACCAACTCAGTGCCTTCTCTGGTCCCCAGGAGTACTGCTTCTGGGCCTGGCCCCTTCCTCACGCCTCTCTGCTTCCCTGGGCCTACAGAACCCTCTGCAGTCCTCTCTCCAACCCACAGGCCTCTCTCCAACCCGCAGGCCTCTATCCCAGGTAGGTCCATTGTGCCCTCCTCGCCTTGACTCCCCCAGCCTCATTCACCCTCCCATCTCCCCCGTTAGTCTCTCCTCCTGTCCCATTCCTTGTCTTGGGACCCCAGACACTTGGGGAACCACCGCTGCTTCCTGATCCTTTGCATCCAGAGTGACTCAGTTCTTTCTCAGGTCCCCACGGGCACTCTGGGCCTGGCCCCACCCTCACCTCCCTCTGCCTACCTGGGTCTGCACAACCCACTAGCCTCTTTCCTGGACACCAGGGCTGCCCTTTCCTCTTCCTGATCCTTTGCATCCAGAAAAACCCAGCTCCTTAGTACAGTCCCCAGGGGCCCTTGGGGCCGACTCCTGCCCACATCTTCCTTTGCATCTCTGGGTGGCATGGCCACCAGCTGCCCTAGACCAGCATCTTTCCTGGGCCCGGCTCCCAGGCCAGTCTAACCCCCAAATTCATAAGGCCAAAATCTGTCCTGGAGGGATCCAGACCTTAGGAAAAAGCCTGAGAGCATCTGATCCTCATCTGACTTGGGCCTCTGTAGGAACTCCTGAAGACAAAAGCAAACTGACCACTCCAATATAAAATAAAAAGAGAGAACTAGAAGCTTAGAGGAACCAGCTTTTCATGCCCAAAAAGTAAACCACAAAGACATATACATTTTAGAAAAAGAAGC